AGCGGGATTATTATTTTGGTGATTTTGGCATTAATACCTTTCGTCGATATTATATTTCTTTGATATTTCAAATAGTTCACACTCTTTTGGCATGATAGTGTCCGTTTTAATTCTACTTATGAGTTTTTGTATTGCCTATAGGACTGATGATACCCTCGATGATTTATCAGTCACACAGCAAAAGTATCGACCCAGTGGTAGTTATATAATTAACATTACAAATTTTACTGCACCAGAGTTTCATTTCCACAAGTAATCTCTATTCAGTGATGCTCGAAGGCAGAGCTTTTGAAAAACGAAAACTTATGCAATCATTGAAGAGCTGCCCTAACCTAAAAGGACTTTAAAAAAAGCCAGATCCGGAAAAGAAATCAAACCAGGCATGAAGGAAGATATTCCTCAATATATGATTTTTCCTAAATTTTACAACATAAAATCTTAATCAAACAATAGTGGTATTTGCATACCAGTGTTATAGTGTACTGGCTTCAGGGCTGGTGGTACCCTCCGAAGAGACTAACAGCCCTCCAGCAGAGGTATCATTCCAGTGGTAGTAATAACATTAATATAGTGTACTGGCTTCAGGGCTGGTGGTACCCTCTGAAAAGACTAACAGCCCTCCAGCAGAGGTATTATTCTAGTGGTAGTAATAACATTAATGACACAAATTTTACTGCACTATATGCGCCTTTTTATTATAAATGTCTCTTCAGACGTTCCACTGTCGATATAAATCAAGAGTTGATATATTACTTTTTGGAGCAGGGCCAATACGGAAAATATACGAAAAAAGCCGTATTGGCCCATTGGCTAATATGGGACGTTCATTTCCGGTTGCAATTTTCTCACGCCTTTCTTAACTTTGGACGTTTCGTTATGCATTAAAAACATTTGTATTATATTTTTTTTAACTTAAAATCATAGAATAAAAAGTTTTAATGATGTACGTCTTGAAGTCTTGAAACGGAAATATTTCACAGCCTTTTTTAGTACGACTTTCGACTATTGACATGGTTTCATTTTCGTTGATCAATCATCAGAACGCAGACGATCCAAGAGTAAGAATAGTTAAAATGTCTGAAATATTCTTCCTGGCTACTTTATATTTGCTGGATAAAATGAATTGTAATAGCAAAATATTGAGTACTTGGACGGGAAATCAGAAATTACATCTGACAATGTTGACAAAAAAATCCATGAGCATGGACGTGAAAATGCGAAAAGACAAGTTCAGATATGAAATTCTGTATTTTCTTCACGGTAAGTTTCTTTGAAATCATTTAATAAAAAAGTTATGAACTAGCTGTTTCTGTATTGGCCCTGTTATAGATTCGAGGTTAGCTGTATTGGACCCGTGCATGATACACGTTTCTTTTTTATATTAAGATCCATATATTTATTTGACGTAACTTTCAACCAACGTTTTTACAGAATCATTTGTACTTTGTTAAATGGGAAGGTATCTATTTCTACAAATCATCATGGGTACCAGAGCTTTATCATAACAAAATTTTGAACTTTGAATTTCCTTTACAGTAATGACTTAGAGTTAAGCACAATATTGTGATGATCAGATTTAACCTGGATGTATTCAGACTTGTATTTTTGCTGAAAACAATCAGATTTGTACAAAAAAGTAAAATAACAAAAATACCGAACTCCAATGAAAATTCAAAACGGAAAGTGCCTTAACAAATAGTTAAGTCAAAAGCTCAAAACACATCAAACGAATAGGAATCAACTGTCATATTCATGACTTGGTACAGGCATTTCATTATGTAGAAAATTATGGATTAAAAATGCGAACGATTTTGAAAAAAAAAGTACAAGAACTGTTATTACAAACTGAACGCCAGCGGACGTGGGGTAAAAACTGCACTTCCGTGTACAATCAAACACAGACCACACATGAAAAGTTAATATTTCAGAAAAAAAAGACATTATGGTGATGAAAACTATGCACGTCGAGACAATTAGGATGATCTCTGGCACTGAAATAAGGACTATTCAACAGCTATAGTGGACAGCAGAGCAATTTTGTTCAGCTACTTCCGATGCGTATTGTTGCAGTCCAACATATCCAACGAATTCACAGCTGACTGCAAAATCTTGCTGGAAAAAAGTATTGAAACCTACTAGTACTTTATCAAACTTCTTAACTGAAAGGCACCGAACGACTTGAAGGCAGTCAGAAAAGACCGTAAAGAGAGTTATTAATCAATGCAAGACAACACACACACATATATATATATATATATATATACAAGTCTAAATTGGAAACAACGTTCAAACATATGATTGCGTTGGATAAAAACAGCAATTTTTATACGTGTGCATGCAAAACAAATTTCTTGGTAGAGGGGTCTAAATACAGCACAAACAACATTTTCCAAAAGACCAAATGAGTGAAAAAGTATATTTTAACAAAACGCATTTGACTAGCAGGTCGAACAACTGATGTTCTTAAACCCTGCTGACTGCCATTGGCGATTGCCAAATAAACGGATCACAAGCATAACAAAATAGATCTTATTATTTATTTATTACCAAACAGAAAACAATCAACTTGCGAAAAAGATGGTATACCGCAAACATGAGGTGCAAAAATTTGTACACCATATCCGGATTTCGACAATTAATGTCTCTTCAGTGATGTTAGGAATCGTATATATATATATCTGGTCTAGAACGTTCTAATATTGATGATGGTATTTACAATGGTTGATGTGCATGACTCCCAACTTTAAAATGTGACTTCATAATTCTACCGCCTTTCCGAGTTTGAGCAAGATGAAATTGAAATGTCCTTTAAGTATGAAAAAAGTTCATAAACAGTTACTGTAAGAAGAAAATATAAGATCGCGACAGAATGCAGATAATCAGAATTTGTAGATCGCGAAAATGACAGCCTGCACAAATGCTAAGATTGATCAGAAAACAAAATTTGTTAAGTATCGGCGGGAAATTGGTTGGTGATCCTGGGATGTCTCAGAGAAATGGTACAATACAAAAGCTAAAACACGATCTGCAAAGGTGCTATGGTTTGCTGCAACTGATAATTGACACTAAAAACCGTGGCTTCGGAAACGAACGTCAACAGAACAATCAGAAATGCAATCCAAAATTCACGTGAAAGAAATCTCTTGTCTTTTGACGAGTTAAAATTTAGAAATGTAGACAAAAGAAACAGAGATAGACAAAAAGTCAAGACACACGCATTCTTGAAATTAGGTTAGAAAGTGACAATACAATAGAAGATAAATTTGGTGATGTTCCAAACAGAAACAAAAAGTGAGAGTAAAGGTATCAGGCGATGGAAGTAAGCCAATTGTCGAATTATGTTGTGATGCATTTTGCAATTCTCGACGACGATACATGCTTATTCTCGTCAAGGAACTTTGGCGATCGCGAAAAGACCATATAATTATGAAAACATTTATTCTTGATGTAGACCGTTGACTTGTAAGATAACATCAACAAGCTATATTCCGACGTACGATATGATTAGAGACCACAAGAATGAAATCGAGGCTTTTTTTAAGCATTGACCTGAAATTCATACAATTATGCCTGGGTTTCAGAAGTGCTTAGTAAAGGGTGTCAAAAAATTGATAAAGTCACTTTTCCAGTCCTGGAATTATAATCATTTACACGAACACCGTCGAAACATTTCAGAAATTAAGGAAATATTAAAGTAAGAACAACAAATACACTTTAGCGTAAATAACCCAACTATTATACATTCGTTGAGACGAATTATATTTGACGATTATAGTTTCCGAAATGGGATAGGTGATGCTGCAGGGATGAATGATAGAGCCGCAAGAGTAGTTAAAACAACATACTATTTGGTTCAAAGTGTAAGATGAAGCGGAGTTTCTTTCAACATTTGGATAGCAAAAACTTCTTTAAATAGAAGATGACACGAAGAAAATTAAAAAAAAATTTACAGAAAAGTTATTTGGTATTTTTTGGTATAGAAAACAATATCCACAACCAAACATTGAGATTATAGAATGAATTTTCCTCCGTTGTACGATTAATCACGCCCGTGCTGTTTAACTGAGAACACGACCATTTGTATAAAATATGTGTAAAAAGAAGGCAACTGACTTTTTTGAAATCTCGAATGAATGCCATTTGTGTTTCTTTGTGGAAATAGTTATTTGATTTTATAGTGATTAAGATTGTACTACAATGTTGTCTGCTGTACCCCGATTGTTGACGTTTTTTACCTATTACAGTATAGCGTGTTATTTTCGCGGGGTGTCAAACAATTGATGAAGTCACTTTTCCAGTCCTGGAATTATAATCATTTACACGAACACCGTCGAAACATTTCAGAAATTAAGGAAATATTAAAGTAAGAACAACAAATAACACTTTAGCGTAAATAACCCAACTATTATACATTCGTTGAGACGAATTATATATGACGATTATAGTTTCCGAAATGGGATAGGTGATGATGCAGGGATGAATGATAGAGCTGCAAGAGTAGTTAAAACAACATACTATTTGGTTCAAAGTGAAAGATGAAGCGGAGTTTCTTTTAAGGTGTAAATTTTCGCTTATTTTCGCGGATAGAACAAAATCGCCAAAATAAATTCCGCCAATTTAAAAGTGCACATGCAATGGTACTGATAAAAGTTTTGAATCCGCCAAAATATTTCGTATACCTTATTCAATGAAAATCGCGAAATTTTACATCCGCGAAAATAACCCGCTATACAGTATGTCTGCTTGTTTTTCTCAAACATGTTTTTCAATATAATTGAATTCTATGCAACTGTCAAACACGTGAGATGTTTAACTAGCTATTTTTATTTTCTTCATCCTCACAACTCTCTACTCTTGCATTATGTTTATCGAGAATACATTATATTCGTTAATTCTGAAAAAAATATAAGGATACAGTACAATTTTTGTTCTTTATTTCTTTGAATTTTCTAAATACTGTGTCAAGCAATTATGTAGACTTCCTTTTAATAAACGTAACTTTACCATTTATTATAATAATAGTTTTTTCTTCGAGGCTTGTAGATGTAGTTAGCAAAAGCTTTAACTCCCTCCAGTATTTCTTCGCCGTTAGGAGTGATTTCTGATGCAGGTAGAAAGAATTTTTTCTCTCCTGTATCCCTAAGTTCAATTGTATAAGAGTATTTGATATTTGCTCCACCTCTTGCATAATCATCTGAGGCTCCAGCAATTAGGCCAAATTCTGGAAAAAGGGCAGATTGGTTCACTCTGTATATCTTTTTGCTCTTAGAAAATATCGCAGCTGCTCCTACATTAGCAGCATTTCTGAGATCTTGTGCATCTTTTAATGTGTCCTGTGTGTATCCCCAAGGATATGCCCATATCTGACTGTAACTTTGAAAAGACATATAAGCAACGAAGTTTACGCCCTTTCTGTTCATCACTTTCATCACGGCTTTACTTTCCTCCTCAGTAAAAGGACCTGTACCAGCATAACCGACATAATTACAAGGATCTGATGATCCACCAACAGAAGGATCCCACGTTTTGTCATCATAACCAAAATTTCTATTTAAATCAACACCATAGCAAACGGGGTTTGACGACGTTTGTCGTCGATTTTTCCTCCAGCAAGGATCTGTGGTATAAGTATAAACGTAGCCATCTGGATTGATTACAGGGATGAAATACCAGTCATACAAGTCGACCAATTTTTCTATGGCAGGATCCTGTTGAGGATTATTCTTAAGTTGGTTAATAATATACAGCACTACCGCTGGTGAGATCCATTCACGTGCATGTATTCCACCATCTATCAAAATTGCAGGTTTCATCATACGCCCTCGTTTTGAATATCTCCTTCTTTTATGCATTTCTTTTTTGAATATCTTAACTAAATGTATTTTTCGATTTTCTACAGTTGTGCCTATTTCTTCGTCATAAGCAAAGATTTTCTGTCCTGATGTCCCAATCGTTGGTTTATTACATAGTGACTTAAGGAAGTTTTCTATTGCTGGATATCTGTTATATTTCTTAAAGTTTATTTTTGCAGAGTTTGAAAGGCCTTGGTGTCGTTCTATTATATATTGCCTGAGTTTCGGATTTTCTTTAATTTGCTTGCTAAGGCCTGGACTCATACATTCTGGGACGTCTTGTGATTTCCACTTTGAATATCTGTAATATGCGACGGCTTCGACTATCATAATAGACAAAACAAGAAAACCTTTCATTTTTTCAGTTTTTCTGCAAATGAAAAAATAATTATAAATGTTCAATCTAATTTTAGACGATTATTGACTGAATGTTTTTGTTAAGAAGACGGGCATTTGGGAATGCTCTTCAATCGTTTATAAAACGGCTCAACCTCAAATCTCGTTGTAACATTGTGAAAGGAAAAAGAAACCAACCAAATATAATGTCACTTAATAGATACATACTCATTTTTTTTAGTGCATCTGTAAAACATCAATTTTGAACAAAGGTGTATAAAATGAGTTTAAAATATGCAAAACCACTTGTTAAAAAAATGCAAACTGTCAAAACTCCAGATGGTTTGATTCTTAAATAATTTACATAGGTTTAATTTTTTTTTAGTAAGAATAAAAGGACATTAGCTGAGAAACTAATTACCACAGAATTAACTCAAACTTGTTAATTTGATTCATAAATTAATAATATATTTACTACGATTACAAAATACTTATAGGAAACAAACAAAGCATGAAATCTTAATTAACCGTTGAGATGACACACGAAGACTGCGGATGGTCATTTTACCCTATATAAACATGAATATCAATATATATAGACAAAATAAAAGCATTCGCAATAGTAAGAATTTTCTAGGTTTATTTATTATAATTTCGTAGATTTAAAAAAATGAAACTCTAAAAGAAAATGATGTTTCAGAAAATAAAGTATTAGTATATAAAGGAAGTCAAATACCACCATCGCATTTTACAGTGCCTATAGCTAATACTTCTTAAAAAAATTACCACATTTGAAAAGAAGTGAAGGAAGTATTACGATTGAAACTCAGTTCAACCATCATTTAAGGGCTTACGATACAGTTGGGTATTTGAATAAAACGTGCTTACAAGCTATTTTTCACCTAGTCAATTCAAATATGTGATATAAAATGTGCTACTTTTAGAAATTAATAGAAGAAATTTTAGACATTTACTTAAAATTTCAGTTTCTTTGACATTTCTTTACTTTGGACAAACTTACTTTTTTGTTTATGTTTTGTTTCAGAAGATAAACACATGCGGACTTTTATAAAAACTCATTTTGGAATATCATAAGTATGATCTAAATTTGTGTAACAATACGTTGGAAATAATTAATTTTTATCATTTTTTTACTGAATTTAGGAAACCGGCATGTAACTATGGTGCGTCATGTAAGTTTTTTTTACTTAATTGCAATAGGTTTAGCACAGAATTTTCGAAAGACCAACTTAAATAGTAAAAAAAAAAAAAATACAAATGCACGGTTATCAGATAAAATCTATTCTTATGGATATATATATAATTTGTGTTCATAAATTTATACATACGTGAAATAACAATAACGGGACCATTGTTAGTCAAAGATAAGAATAGTCTAAAATACTAAGATGTGTATTTGAGTAGTAGGTAAAGCTAATACCTGTTTTTCATTTTTTTTTTAATAAAATCTACGAAATATATATATAGCAGGCAGCTCATTGAGTTCTGTTCCACCATAAAAACAAACAAAAATAGAAATTGTGCAAATGTTTGTTATCCTAATTTTATATTTGAAAAGAATTTTAACTACAATGTAAGAAAAAGGGTTCTTTTTGTAGAACAAATTCGTTTATTTAACAACTAAAGTTAAACACAATATATCTCACTGGCAACATGACGCCAGTTTTTGGGTCCGAATCTTATGGCAATAGTAGTTCCTGAAGTCACGGTGTCAGGAAAGGAATACATTTTAAATGTGTTTACCTGATGGAGTATTCGTTTGTCCAATGAACAGAGAGGTAAGTCTTGGTCAATATTCCGGTCCCAAAGTAGGTAATGACTTATTTAATAGATACACTTACTGGAAATGTGTGGATATGATTGAAGCTTTAAATTTTCTCCTGGACAACATATATGTACGTTTCGGCGATAAAGTGTATCGACAGTTAGTAGGTATTCCTATGGGAATACTACTGTTGCCTTTATTTTGCACGATAATATACATTATTTCTCAAAACCGCGTTTTTAAAAAAAATTAAGCATGTGAAAAATTGTGATTTTTTGATAATGTTTAAGAAAACAATATGATTATCACTGGTTTTTATGTTTTCCTCTTTTTTCAAATTTATGGTTGCAATGACAATAATTTCTCAAGCGTCTTATACTGTCGTGTTAAAACACCATATGCTAGACTATAGAAATGATAATAAACGCATATACCTTTGTAGTTTTAAGTGTAGTCAGTAAAGAAAGAACAACGAATTAAACGAAATATATTTTTCTGTTAAGAAAAAAAAACTCAATTTAAAAAAACAACTTGTCAAAAGCTGTTAATTGTAAAATATTTTTGTTGTTAATTGGGAAGTAAAGTACGTTGAAAGTAATGAATAGATTCACATGCAAAAATACATTTTTACTAACGCATTCGCCTTGTTGAATTTATTAATAAAGGATGTAACAAAATTATGAATTTGAAAAACTCAAAACGCTTTAATTTGGAATTTGAATAGATTATATGAGTGTCATTTGTTTTCAAATTTCTCCCTCATGTTACCTATAAAGGCAACAGTAGTATACCGCTGTTCCAAAGTCATAAATCGATTGTGAGAAAACAAATTCGGGTTACAAACTAAAACCGAGGGAAACACATCAACTATTAGAGGAAAACAAAGGAAGAACAGAAACACTAAAGTGCAACAAAAACAAACGCCAATGCAACATACACAGAAACGAACTATTTGATAACAACTACCTGGTTGAACCTGGTTTTATGGCTAGCCAAACCTCGCGTTTATATGACTATGTTAAAAATACCGTTAAAATGACAGCATTACATGACAGGAATACAGTACAAATAAATGCAAGAACACTTAGGACAGAGAAATACATAAATAAATAATATAATAGTACATTTCAAATAGTATAGTTAAAATGACAATTATTCCCAAGTCACCTATACTAATTCAGTATTTGCTAAACTTATACATGAGATCCTTTATCCCCTAGCGTGTCTCCAGTAATGAAAGAACAACGAATAAAAGGAAAGGTCCCAAAATGACTAGTGTAAAACAATTCAAATAGGAAAACCAACGGTATAATCTATATAAAAAACGAGAAACGAAAACATTTATGAACCACATCAACAAACGACGACCACTAAACAACATATTCCTGACTTAGGACAGACACGAACAAATGCAACAGGTCTAAATGTTTTAACAGGCGCCAACCTTCACCGTAACCCGAAATAGTAGTGTAACAAGACAACATAGAAAGACACACTATAAACTATCGCATTTCGTCTACTTAATACTCAACAGTAACGCTCGAATCAAACACTTGGAAGGCCAAATCAAATAGGAAGTTGAAAAGCATTAGAACCAAAAATTCCCAAAGGTTGTACCAATTATGACTATGGCCATCTATGCCTGGGGTAGAAAAACATAAGTGTTTTGAGGTATTCCGCATTTTATAAACAATAAATGTACAGAAAGTGAACATATCAATGATATTTCATGTGAACACAAAAATGCTGACTCCTGGGCTAGTGATACCATTGTGGCCACAGCGTCCATCAGCAGTGGGATCCACCCAGTATATGCTACAATGAAAAAATGATAATAAAAAACATACCTTTGTTTTGAGATGTCTTTAGTAAAGAAAGAAATTTGACTTTATTTATATATACTAAAATTATGCAAATTTAGAAACAGCTTGTGAAAACTTGCTAATTGCAAAATCACTAATGTTACGTTTGTGAACGTGTCAAAATCTGTTATACTTTTCAACTAGTCTTAATCTAGGCTTATTATACACGAATAGAGCTCTATCATAGTTGACTCTTTTCTGTAGGAGTCAGTTTAGCTTCTCCCCATGGCATACTCACTAGTTTATTCGTAGTATATTTTCAACTTGGAAATAAGTTTTAACTGAACTGTTCACTAAAGCTCATTAAGATAAGAATGCCCATACGAAAATTTTATCTTATGAAATTTACTCGTCTGTACTATTCTGCATATATCATCAGGTACGCTAACACAATAGCATTTCAAAGCCATGGATGATAAATACGTGCACTTGAATACTTCGGGAGCTATATGACGGAGAGGGACATAAAACGAATAGCCATATTCATCTAAGGTCAATATTTCAAAAGGGAGTTGGAACCTAAGTTTCTCAATTATTTTTAAATTCACCAACGGAGAATTTAAGACAGGTGTGTTATAAATCGTGTCAAATCAGAAGCACTATTTACGAAGATGATGATATCCTTGGGGACAAACAGCGGTATCGACCAAGTGTACATGTAAGAAAATGAAATCATGTTGAACCTCACTATCAATTAAAGAGACATTTGAATTCAAATACTATACTTATATACTGCAAACATTTGAAAAACTATTTACATGTAGCAACAACCTTAAAACTGACCAGAAATATATAACATTTGTCTATATCTTTGAATATTACACATATTAAAGTACTCAGATACTTTAAGGGTTCTACTGAGGCACTTAATGGACATAGATAAACAACATCAGTCAATTGCAACATTTCTTTCAGATGGTAAGAAAATATTGAAAATAATAATCCCTGTCAAAGCTCTTAATTATTTAATTATTTTG